CTGCCACTGCTGCTCTGTTATTTCTCGTACTTACACTTGACATTATTTCATTGGCTCCTTCTGCTATAGCAAGAAGTAGCTCCTTCCTTTTTCCTTCATTATATTTATCTTTGATGCTTTTGTTGTCATTTCGTTTGCCATATGATATGCCTATTTCATTATTTTTATTATTATATTTATTATTTACGCCCAATCGATCCTTTGCTATGACAGCAAATTCTTTGTAACTCCTTAATACTTGCTCATCATCAACTGAACCATTATCATTTTTTGTATAATAAATCGCTATGCTGTCATTATTGTTGCCAGCACCATTTGCTGCAACGTTCACTACAGCTCCACCAGCAACGACAGTGGTACCACTGGTACCACTAGTAGCACTCGTATCACTCGTTTCACTGCCAGCAACAACAGCCATAGCACTACCGTGTTTCCATATTAATGCCCAAATTAAAATTAAAAACATAATTTTTATTTTGTTATTAAAAAATTTCTCAATTGCGCACGTCATCATAAATTTTACTTATTTGTGGTGTAAGCCAAAATAAGTAAAACTAACCAAAATATAAAAAAATTCATATACAATAAATAAATATTAAATCAAAAAATAAATCTTTTATGCTTTGTTGTTTGGAACTGTCCCAGTATCTGTGTCGGCGCGATAACGTCCTTTCCGTACTGATGCACTTCGGACGGTTGTGGCTTTTTTTATATGCAACCAAAACAATTTCACTTTTATAGCGAATTTTTAAACCCAAAATGACGAGTACCAAAGCCAAAGCCAAAAACAAAAAGAAAGTAAAATTAAATTAATTAAATCTGCACGCCATTTTGAAAAATATACTTAACAAGCTGACATTGATATTTTAAGTACATAAGCTAACAGTACCAAGATTGCACGAGTGTCCTGCTTTATGTAAATGCAAGCGTAAGTTTGGTCCTAAATGTCGCTCCGTTATTTATGACATTAAACCAAATTTCAATAAATATTTTATTTAAGTTAAATCAGTTTATTTTATCGTTGCTAATGTCCGTTGAAACTTTGTCCTCTTCCTTATTAATAATGTTTCAATAACAAAGGACACTCAAAAAAATGTTTAAGAAAAGTTTTATGTCCATAATATATAGCATTTATTATATATATGATAATTTCAGGTAGAGAAATTTCGACAGTTTATGAGGGTTTCCCAATTTAGCAACATGAAGAACAGTGCCCCGATACCGGATTGACTATCCGGAAAACTTAACATGTTTCAGTGAGAATACTACCTTGCAATACAAAACAATGACCCAACAGCCGGAAAGACTTTTAAATATATAGACTATGAGAATAGACTCCTCCCCACACATTATAGTTTAGTTTGGATCCTTCAATCATATCAATGTGGAAGCTATTCATCTGCTGGATATTACCAATGAACTAAGGCTGAAGCAAACAAAGACTCATTAGTTAACATAGATAATATTGTATTATAAATTATTTGTATAGAAGCTGAATACTGGTTCAGTAAACACGCACACGTATTACTTAATATCTATTAAGTACAATTCAGCAATAGTAATAAATTAACAAATAGTTAAGATTGTGCTACTCATATCCTATGAAAAAGTTTGGATCCATTAGTACCATATATGTACATAAAATTGCCTAATCTGATTAAAATTGCCAAAATAAACTTGTCCACTATTTTGATGTTAACGAGGGAGTACTGGTTATGCGGAAAACGATGTGAGAATTTTGAAATGGGATTTGGTGGTGTCATAACGCATCAGTAGGACTATGTAAGTCGCAATGGGTGGTTGCCAATTTATCTAAATACTGTGTAGCATATCATAGAAGTGAACTTTATGTCGAATTTGTTTACTTATATGGTGCCAAAACGTAGTTTGTAACTGCTGCGATCTTGTAGAAGAACTAAATATTTACCAGTGGATGCTTGTGTCAGATTATAAGGATAGATTATCCAGGAACTGTTAGCAATAGATGTTTAAAGGCCATAATTGGTGAAAAAATTCTTCGCCAAAAACACGTTTGGCTTAGTTATTTCTAAATGCCAATTTATTTAATATACAGGACTCGAATGGAATCCTCAGTAAAGGAGAATTAGAACTTGACCTAATAGCGATAAGCAGAGAAACGCTCATATCCTATAACGAATTGAGAATAATGCTATACAATTGGAAGACGAAACTTAGTTCATAATGACAAAAACTTTTGAAATTCATCTGTATACTCTTATTGCAGTAAAATATAGAGGCTCTACAATTATCTATGGGAAGCTTTAAAACTTTTTCTGTATGCTTTTCTTGTAGTAAAATATAGAGGCTCTACAATTATCTATGGGAAGCTTTCTTAAAATTTTTCTGTAATTGAACGCAGAAATACTACGATTTTTCTATATAGAAACCTGTCTCTTATTTCTCCTTTAATGCGCCACTAAGAATAATTGGTATCTCTAACAATTGTTATTATCCCGCTTCCAACTATAAGTCCTGCACCTTGCTGGTTCTTCTTTACTGCCTAAGTCATAATATTTTCGTAAGATCTGTAGAGTTAGTCACCAATAAAGTAGGAAGTTGTCAGGTATGTCTGCAGATTGCGATGATAGCATATAATTGCCTTGTGATATTCACAAGATTTGTAGTACCATTAACTATATATTTATTTACAAAAACATGTAATTTTCTATCAACTGCTTTATATCACTTCCATATCTCACGTGCTTAGAAACGTATAGACTTTATATTGGAGTTGTAGCTGTTGAAATCTGAGTTATAGCTGAGTTATATGGGTGCGATTGTAAATTATTATATAATATACTACAAAGGTTTTTGTCTTTGTTGTTCCTGACAAGATGTTTTCATCAGCTAATTTGTTATCATATCATAATAAGAGCTGTAATTATAAAGAAAAGGTCATACGGCGGCTTAAACAAATAGATAAAAAATATGTAAATCTAGTCAAAACATTTTCTAATATTCTTAACACTGTTACAATAATCAAGCAGATACTTGTCATGCATAAATAAAATCCGATTAGTCGGTATTTCGTAAAGAGACCCTCCAGAGCACGAAGCTCAAACGTCTGTTTTTCGTTGGCGTTTAGTCTATTGACTATATTCTTCGCCTGTGTTTATCTGTCATCTTTGCTGTTGAATTACCATAGCTGCTCTTATTGAAAAATCTTTTTAATTGTGATAGCGCTTTGCGCTCTTCCTCCAGGGGTCTATGATGCCATGATTTGAGTTACTAACGTTTATACCTACTGTATTTTACTTGAGAGGCTCAGTGTATCTTAAGACCCTTTGACTTCGCTCAATTGTTATAATAGATTGAGTTCTATTGACATCTGATATATAACAACTAACTTGGTTCAAATTTCTTCTCTTTTTATTATCACTCTTAAGGTGCATCCACACCAAAGCGAACCTACAAAAGTTCGTTCGTTTGCAAGCGTTCGCTTTGATGTAGATGCACCTTTATGTTCACTCTTTTCTCAATATAGTCACAATAATCCTCCAAAGATGCAGTGACTTGGTAATATAGTTCACAGCCTTTCAAAATCTATCTGTCTATCTATAACTCTTTCCTAATCTTTTCAGTTTCTTTTTCTAAGAAGATTGAGTATGGTACTTTCTTTTTATGTTTGTGTACAAAAATGGTTAAGCTATAGCAACAGCTTCAATTATCCTTTTTAATGTAACATGAAATCTCATAGATACTTAAGCTGATATAATTTTTATCTCCTAAACTTTTCAGTGTACTTGGCAATTTAAATTAAAATTGAAAATAGAGTTGAATACACATAATGTAATGTGCCAGATACATACCACCATTATAAAATTTATTTATTAAGAGCACATATGCATGTACAACCTTTTTTAAGTGCATGTATATTCTTTGAATTTGATTTATCAACAAATGACATAATTATTCAATTATCTATAATCACCAAGAATAATAATAACTCATTGTCAAAAGTGATTTCTGAGATTCTTTTGTAACGTCGTCAGGGTCTTTGTATTTTTTCCCACATCAAACCATTTGACAGGATGTCATTTTTATTGAAAGCAAATTTGCTGTAATGAGAAGCTTTAGGGTATATGTAATGCAATGCTATTGTTCTTAATATTATTATAAAAATGATGTAGTGGAACAATTTTGGAATTTAGTAAAGTGTTTAAGAGCGTTTTTTAAAAGCGTTTTTTAAGTCACAAAAGACTGGATAAATCAGAAAAACTGATTTGAATGACTTGGAGGGATGACGATTGTTCAATTAAATTTAATTTACTAATTGCTATTATTGGAGTAATGATAATATAACAAATATTATTTTAAATAATTTTTTAATAAATAATAATAATTATAATAATAATATAACTCATAAAGGAGTTTTTCGAACAGTAGTGAACCACAACAACAAAAATTTATTTTATATTATTTTAATTAATTGAATTTTTGGGTGACTATAGAGCTGTTTCGAGTATTGCCAAATACCCATCATCGGTGGTCTTGAAAATAATTACCAGGAATCGAACTCGGGTCCTGTCAAATTTGAAGCTCAAATTTTATTAATCGCTTCAACCTCAAAAATTGAAAGTTATTATATACTCAAATAATTAGGGCAGCACTACTGTACGGATGTGTAACATACAGCAAAGCCTCAAATACTGCCATAAAGCTAATAAAGCTAATGCCATAAAGCACTAATTAAGATTCCTTGGTATATTAGAACAACAGATATGCATAGAGATCTAAGGATCGAATCAGTGAAAAAATATATCAAGGACAGAGTAAAAGTATAGTATATATCAAGGACAGAGTAAAAGAGTAAAAGTGCGCAATAGCACTAACTCAAATCACAACAACAATAACAACAACAATATACTAATTAATAATACAATAATCAATATAGTAGTTTAAAACAATTTGACGTTAATATTTTCGAACTGTATTTTATATCTTTTTAAAAGTGTTTTCAAAATAATTTTTTTTGCTCTAATTACATTTTATGACAAAACTTTAATAAATAGATAAAGAGATAGAATTAAAAAAAAATTGATTAATTCACTTTCAGGCATTCTTCAATGCAATCAACAATTTCTTTAAAAATAGTATTACGATTTGATTTGGTTATACAAAATAGTTTAGTATTTGGTGAACTACGTAAACGCTCCAACATGGGTATTGAATAGATTAGAGGTATGGTTGCTAATAACAGAGTGTGGTCAATTACGTCATTTACAGTAGAACGAAAAGATTTACTCATTAATTCCATTTTGCCAATTTCATCAAGGACAAGTAATTTATTCATGGGAGCATTACGTATGGCCAATGCAACAGCGTCAACATTTTCGACATATACTGAATATTTCCCGATCTTAGGCCGACGTACATCATCAAATGTAAATGTCCTATATAAATAAATAAGCAGTAAATAATAGTTAAGCAATAATTATTTTAGAACATTTTAAATCCACCCACTTGGCTAGTGTCGATTCTTTTCCATCAAGAGTGATAATTTCAAAACCGGTGCGTTCATTTGCAGTATCTCTCGTTTCGTTGGTATAAAAGCCACAGCAACCAATCGTTCCACATTGCTGTAAGTGATCAATTATGCTTTTGATTAATGTAGTTTTCCCAACTCCTTTAAATAAAAGAAAATATATTTTTACTGTTAATTTTTCTTGGCAAGAGTGACGCGCCTTTATGACGAAAACGAACTATTTAAAAGTTAGACGAATTTGCATAGCAAAGAAAAGACAAGAATAAAAAATTTAATTAATTTATTAAAATTTGGCTAACCATACAACACTATTTCGAGTATTACCACGTACTCATCATCAGATATATTATTCAAATTATTTAAATTTCGTTATTGCAATATAATAATTACCTGGTTTTCCTGTTAAAACTATATTTGTTGGTTCAAATGTTATAGGTAAGTGAGTTTCACTTTTTACAGGTTCAGACTTAATTTTAAGTTTTTTATTTTTGATTAAACGAGCTTTGGAATCCATTTTAAATTACTGTTATTATCTAGAAAAAATAAATAAAAATTAATATATATACATATAAGCAGTATAATATATTAAAATAAAAAAATTGAAGACAATAATCATAATAAAAAATATATAACAGATAAAAAGACGGAAAGAATAGAGTGCATGTTCACGTGCGAAGCTATTGATATAAGATGTAGGCAAAGGAACCTTACCATATCAATTGTACAAAGTCATAAATCAATGAACTGCTAAAGTTTGTGTGTGTAGTGAGACATTTATGAATAGTAACTCAGTAGTTGGGACATATATTTAGCACATATGTATATGTTTATGTCTGACAAGAAACTGCTTAACACATAGCTATTCCTTGCTCTGCTTTTTATTAAAACAGTACTTACTGCATGCACAATTCGTCTTTCATTCACATAAATTAAAAATCTTTTTATGCTATAGAGCTAGTATCGAATCAGATACCAGCTTGTTAAGAAGCGCTGTTGGCCATTGTCGGTACTCGACCGTACTGTTGTGTCCGTTGCAAGACAATACAGGAAAGTGACGGCAGTTTTAAAGCGGAACAATGACACCATTGTCCATTTGTGTGCACTTTAATATTGACTTCTTAATAGTTACTAATAGTTACTAACTAATAATTACTAACTTAAAAAGTTATGTCTTTTAATCATTCTTATATACTATACAAAAGCATATGTTGTCGTTATAATGTGATACACAATTATTTTAAAAGTATTCCGTACTACATTTTAAATGTACAATTATTTGACTAAATTGTAATACCAAACTAAAACCATCAATAAAACATTAACATATCCTTGAACACATACATCAATATATGTTGATATTCAGCATAAATTAATGGTTCCAAATAATCAAATATAAAAGCTCTTGTAGTGAAATAGAGTACTTCAAAACTTACATATGATAAATAAGATGATTTCTTTATATTATAATCTTAAAAATCTATTACGATACTCGCTGCACTGCTAGGAGAAGAGCACGACAGAAGACAATCAAATTCCAAACACTTACTCCGGTCAGCTCTTTTTTGGGTAAACGATTATTACCTGCTTAAATAACAACAAGAATTAGCAAAGATAATTTAAAAACAAACTCTTATTTATGTATTTAAGTAATTTATTTTAATATCTACCTTCTAAGTTAGCGTCGATATTCTAAGGTGAATTGAGAATAGCCACACTGGACACCAGTTACAATAAAAAGAGCGTTAGTATTAAAAATGAATATATTGTATCACATGTGCAACGAAAAAGATATAAAAAAGAAAGAAGATACGAAAAATTTAATTTAAATTTGCATAACATAAATTTTGAAGCAATAATAAATTTATTTAAAAATCACACCAATTATTAATTTCAAATTCTTACTCGCTATTCCTGCAAGCGCTGCCACCAGTTTTCTTCCAGCTGTTGCTCTTTTTCCTATAAACGATAAATTTAGAGAAAATAACAACTTAAAAAAGTTTTTCAAATAAATATTTGTTATTTTTTAGATTTAAATAAGACAGTCACACACTTTGTAAAAATAAAACTTTATATTTATTTATTTTCTATAAAATTCCTGCACATGTCATAACAGCTGTTTGCTACAACTCCCTCTATCGTTAATTTATATACTTGAAAGAAAAAAGCAACAGTGCCATCTGACATTACTTTATAATTTTGACAGTACACACGTCAACAAAACACTGATTTATCTTTTTTGTGTGTGCAAAATTCGTGTGACTGTGCGCTTGGTTTAGTAAAGAAAAAAATTTAACAAATAAAATTATGAAATTTAGGAGAAAAAATTTTTGAAAAGTGCACAGTGCTAACAAACCAATAAAATAAATACTTGTTTATTATAACACTTCGCGCACATTCTTTAAAATTTTAATGAATTCATATTTAACTACTAATGCACGTCAGCTTCAATTGCAGTTGGATTTGTGGAAAACATCACTTGCTTACGTGCTTTTGATATACCTTTGATATTTGCATTTAAAAAAAGTTACAACTTCTATTACTAATTTCAAAAAGTTACAACACAAATTAATTTCAATTTATAACAAAAGATGGCAAGTCCAAGAACACGACGCGTATTGCAGGAACTTAAACCACAAGATGATAATTCAGTGTGTTTTAAACAATTCTCTATTTAATACTTAATAAATAAAATAATAAAATTTATAATACTTGCAGAAATGCTTCGAATGTGGTACACACAATCCTCAATGGGTATCCGTTACTTATGGCATATGGATTTGTTTAGAGTGCTCTGGAAAACATCGTGGCCTTGGTGTGCACATTTCGTTTGTACGTTCGGTCACAATGGACAAATGGAAAGATATTGAATTGGAAAAAATGAGAGTGGGTGGAAATCGTAATGCACATGAATTCTTAGAGGATCAACCCGATTGGAATGAACGTGCACCATTTGCACAAAAATACAATTCAAAAGCTGCAGCTCTATATCGCGATAAAATCAATACACTAGCACAAGGTAAATCCTGGGATTTAAGTGAAGCGCAAAGACGTATTTCGAACAGTAACAATTCCAACTACAGTAGCAGTAGTAGTAGTAATTTGGGTGGCAGCAGATCAACTTCAGCACAACAATATAATAGCAACAGCAGCAGTAATAATGGTTATCAGAATGGAGTTGGCAACTACACCGACAACAATTATCAACAATACAATACACCAGAATTTAAGGATCAGAAAGAGGAATTCTTTACACGTCGACAAGCAGAAAATGCCACACGTCCAGAGTAAGTTAACAACCCATCAGTGATGATATGATGTTTTAAAAATAAATCTTTAAATATGTATTTTTTGATTTATTTAGTCATTTGCCGCCCAATCAAGGTGGTAAATATGCAGGATTTGGTTTCACAAGAGATCCACCACCGAAAACCCAATCACAAGAAATTCTTGACTCCACACTATCGTCACTGGCATCTGTAAGCATTGCAATGTAAATTTTATCAATTTAATTTTTAATTAATTTATTTCCATTTGCAGGGTTGGAGTCTCTTATCAGCTAGTGCCTCCAAAATTGCTGTCACTGCTAAAGAAAAAGCTGTCACCACAGTCAATTTAGCTTCTTCCAAGGTAAGCACACTCGCTGCTGATATATTTAGTTTAACTTTTAATTATTTATTGTATATTAAAAATTGTATGTATATTTATTGTTTTGCGCTGTAAAAAAGTAGTTTTTCTGCTTGTTACCAACTTCAAAATCTTCACATCAAACCCATTCATTCAAGGTCACAGAGCAGTTCACGTTTGTCTCTGGTAGTTTGTTTATTTGCTGTTTCTGGCTTTGAATTAATATTTTGTGTTTTTGTTGTTTATTTTAAAATTGTCTGTTATTATTAATCGATCAACAACGATTTTCACATACCCTACTTCAAATTATATAGTTATGTGTATATGACATTACATTTTCTATATATGTGAAGTAAGTGTATTCTTTATAAGTTATATATATCTTATCTTATTAAAATGTATATAAACATGTTTTATTTGTTTTATATATAAATAAAATATATTTACATATTAGTACTTTATATAAATATTATGTGTTAACTACACTGGTGGAATTTCCTGTAAATAATACATATTTTAACTTAAGTTTTGTTAGAACTAATCCTAAATAAGAGTTGAAATAGTATCAAATCTATATTATATGAATTACCATGAATTAAGACTCGGTATTTTAATTATTAAAATTCTCTTGTTGTTGTTGTAACCCGCAGACGTGGGCGCTAGTAGTATGAGCGGAGAAAGCAAGGTGGTTAAACCTAACCACTTTAATGGGGCTGGTCCAATCAACCCCTTCTCCCTTATTCCCCTCCACCCTACCATCACCTCTTCACATTCTAATCCATATATTCGTCTTGTAAACTTTTCATGTTATCTGCTGTTAGGTCCCAGCGGGTTACGACAACGACAACAAAGCAATTACAAAGACTTAAACACGGATTAGGATGTAGATGAGTTATATAGTAGTAATGTGAGTGGGGAATTTTTAAGAGTAGAAACGAATTGAGGTTGGATAGGGATTTTAATTAAAGTCAACCTGGGTCGAGGCAGAAAAACCTAGCCCCTTCAATAGGGTGAGTTCCAATGAATCGATTGGACTCAAATTACTGTGTGCTTTGGGATAGGAAAACAGGTGGACGATATCTTGAAGGGTAGAGCTGCAAAGATTACACACAACTTACACACTGTTGCGTGACTGGAACAGTTCTTGTTGCATGTGGGAAGGATCGTTCTCTCCCGAAAATTTTAAGCGGACGCCTGTTGAGAACTTTTTTGTAGTACCATCGTGGTCTCAAATAGGATTCTGTATCTGTGTGGAGGGCTGTTATTTTTATTTGATCTCAGTGATGTTAGTTCTATTGCAATAGGTATTCTTTGTATCTATGATATGAAGAAAGGGTTTATCGACAGGAAGAACTCTACTGAATATGATACCGTTGGGGTGTCCATTTGTATGGAGAATATGCTCCTAATAGTTATTGACACCTCTCTTGAGTGAACAATACTTCTTAAAGTAAATTCTGTTTCTATCATTATTTGGAACAACTTGCACCTTTGTGTGCAAACAACTCTTGAGATAACATATGTTGAGAAAAGATAAGTGTTATCTCAAGAGAGTGTTCACTGTACATGACGCATTTCTGAAACATATTTTTATTAAAATAATATTAACATCTGTTCCTCTATTTTAGTTTTGTATGGTTTCATAAACATTATGTTTGGTTTCTTCTGCCATAGGTTTGGTTTTGAGATAAATTTTGCACATTTCTTATAAGATCAAAATCATAAAATATATATTTTATCTCAACTTTTATTTACGTTAGTCTACTAATATTTAATTTAGTCTACTGTTAAGTGACATTGT